AGGGTGTTGCTACTAGGGGTCTGTTGAGACAGTTCCTTCAGCATATACAGAGCGGTAGCCCCTGAGTGACAGGCAAAGACTAGTATGATTCTAGGATCTTGGTCGTATTTTGTTAAAGGAATCTATTTCTGATTCCAAGCCTTGAGCTCTACCCCAGGCCCGCGGTGCCTATTTATACTATAGTCGCACCGGTAGTGACGTCATGGCTGTCACCGGCCAACGTGTTGTTGGTGTTTTTTCAATGTATGCTTCAGACACGGGTCACGACGAGGCGTTCCCCATAGCGACCCCTAGAGGACGCAGTGTCTCGTTCCCTACTCAGGGAACCATGGTTACATAAGTAACCTGAGACGTTTTCTATTTTAATATACTTTAAAATATAATTTATTGCTGTGATCGAAGCTGAATTTACAACATCATTACTCCAGTCTTCAGTGGCACATGATCCTTCAGGAATCATTCAGAAATCGTTGTAATATGCTGATTCAGTGTTGGAAAGAGTTGCGCTGCTTAATATCCTTTTGCAATCTGTGATCATTTTTTCAGGATTTTTTGATGAATAAAAAGTGAAAAAGAACAGCATATTCAAAATACAAATCTTTTCTAACAACTAAAGTCTTTACTATCACTTTGTATCAATTTAACACATCCTTGCTGAATAAAAGTATTAATTTCTTTAAAAAAAAATGAAAGAAAAAATTTACTGACCCAAAACTTTTGAACTGTAGTGTATATTGTTACAAAAGATTTCTATTTTAAAAAATGCTGTTCCTTTTCACCTTTTATTCATCAAAGAATCTTGAAAAAAATATCACAGGTTCCAAACAAATATGAAGTAGCACAACTGTTTCCAACATTGATAATAAATCAGCATATTAAAATTATTTCTGAAGATCACGTGACACTGAAGACTGGAGTAATGATGCTGAAAATTCAGCTGCGCATCACAGGAATAAATTAAATTTTAAAGTTATATTCAAATAGAAAGCATTATTTTAAATTGCAATAATATTTCACAATATTACAGTTTTTTCTGTAGTTTTAATCAAATAAATGCAGCCTGGATGAGCAAAGAAACTTCTTTAAAAACATAAAAAATCTTACTGATCCCAAACCTTTGTGTGGTAGTGTATAGCGCACACCCCTACCGAGTGGTGTGAAAGTAGTCTCTGACCTGTGGAATAGCGGCCATGAAGTATCTGGATGGTGGCGCTGGATGGTAGGAGTTGAGGATGGGGTTGGGCACGGCTCTGACGCTGGACATCCTCTGCATGTACTGACTGGTGAGATTCGCCTGACAGCACACTGTACCTGCATACGGCTGCATCGACTTCAGCTCTGTAGAGACTAATGACAAGAAAACAATCAGATCTTGAGCTTATATTTAAACAATTGAGTACATCATCATGTTTCTATCTGATCAGTGTATGTGTTGATGTACCAGTTAGTGTGAGTTTCTCATCTATAGTGTCCTTCAGTTGAGTCAGAGCTCTCCTCAGAGTCTCCAGACTCTCATGAGTCTTCATACTGATCTCAGGCCAGTTCCTGCTGTTTCTAGGGCTGCACAGGGATGAGTGAATCTACAGCAGGAGAGAGGAGAAATCCTTCAGCATGGGGAGTGTTCTGGTGTCATATGCTACATTATCATTGATCAGAGAGATCATGTTGACTGACCTGTAGGAGGTGGAGGTGATCTTCAGTGTGTGAGAGCTGCTCCAGCTCAGTGTTTCTCATCTTTAGCTCAGTGATCTCCTGCTCCAGCTCTTCAATCAGCTCTTGCTCCTGTTTCTCTGCTGCTTTCTGCTGCTCCTCCATCATCTCCAGCAGTTCAGTATAAAATATCTAAGGAAAAAAATTGTCACTATTAAGGGGTTTCAAAATCCCTCAACTGAAGTATAAACTTCATATCACCTCAGTGTGATAGGTGCAGGATGGCAGAAGGGACATTGGCACATTTATTTAGGTTTAGCTGTATTTTGTATGATTTCTGGTCAAATATCTTTTGAATTGTTTTCAAGAGCATATGGAATAAACATTCAACCTGACCACACACCAGCAGGCTCTAATGATGGACATGATTGCAGCCAAAAAGGTAATACTTCTTAACTGGACTATATTATTCTAAAACTGTTATGTTTTAGTGAGCTTATCTCACCAAACAGATTTCTAATGATGGTATATTCTGTAACACCCTTTCTTTTTTCCCATATATTTGTTTCCTCTACTTTGTAAATTATCTGGTTTATAAAGCAATAATTATTTTTAAAATGTGTTTATCTTAAGTATTTTCAATAATTGCTCTGTATTCATTGCTAACTGAGACAGTTCAGCTGTTGTTGTTTTTTCTTTCTGTGTTTAAGAACTTCAAAACCATAAATAAATAATATAAAAGTGATCTGGTAATCACAGTCGTGTTGATATTCAGACCAACAGCGCAATTTAGAGTATGATATTGCTTTTATACAACAATTGAATAAACAAGAAGTTAAGTATCTTACATTTTAGACACATTATTGTCAGCTACCTTGTCTGTATTCACACCGACTACTGAAAGAGTTTCAAACAAAGCCACAACAGAATGTAAAGTATGGAGCCCCTAAAGGGACCTTTGCTAAAATAAAAAATACAAAGAATTTCGCGTGCGCACGATAATCTTTGATGGCGCAATACGGCTGTGTGTATTGAGCTTTAATTTTGTATTCCGTTAGAGCAGTTTATAGAGAATGAGGCTGAATGCAGCTCCTTATTCGTTTGTCCTTTACTGAAGCACCTTTATATAACGAGACGCTTTGTCCATATATAGCGCTGCTATAATAAATGAAGAAACATTTATATTTAATATTTGTATAGAGCAATTATGCATTAAATATGACAAAGTGCTTTGATGTTTTGATTTTGTGTAATACTAATATTTTAACACATTTTACCATACAAATGTTTTTTTTTTAATTGGCCGTTGAAGCTTTACGGAACTATATATATATACAGTGTATATATATATATATATATATATATATATATTAGTGCTGGGTACTAGTGTAATTTTTTTTTAGCAATGATAAAAAAAATTTCATCGCGATTAATCGCATTGTTATGCACAAAATTAAATAATGAATTAAAAAGTAGTGTATTATACATTGTTTTCATTTAAAAGTACTACTATATGAACAAAAGTGCAGTAACATTTGGTTTGCAAACAGCAGTTTTTTTTACAGCAGTATTCCTTTTACATAGTAGCAGTTAAAATAGTTCTTGTTAATCTCAGCTTATAACATTAATGTAATCAAATTAAATATAAAACCAAAGCTATTTGCCAGTGCCAGGGCATTAAGGTTTTTGTAGAAAATATTTTATAGTTTGTTATAGAAAAACAAGTTATGCTCAAGAGTCCGGAGCCTCGTTCATAACATCATAACAGGCACCTTCCGAGTAGAGAGACCTGCACTATCGTGGGACCCAACACAGCAGAGTGCGCCGGCACGGGACAACACTTGATGGGTGGGTAGAGACTCGTGTGTGCGGGATGCGGGAGAATAAGGGTGTACCCACACTAGGCAATCTTAACTGTGCCCGAGCGTGTTTGACCCCCAAAGCCCGGTTCATTTGACTAGTGTGATTGCTCCGTGCCGTGCTCGGTTGAAAGAGGTGGGCCAGAGCGCGGTTCATTTATATATAGATCAGTGAGTGTAAGCGCTAACCGCGCCGGAGTGCGGAACTTATGATATGTGCAGCATGATTGCGTGAACATTTCTAAACGGCAAAAGTTATAGATCTGTAAAGCAATATATTGTGAGAAGGCCGTGTATTACCGTGTCCCAAACAACTCAAAATAATAAACCACAAAGTTAAAAAGATGCACTCTATCTGCTGTCTGCACGTGCTATTGGAACCTTCCCGTTCCCTTTCAAGGGAACAAGACACTGCGTCCTCTAGAGGTCGCTATGGGGAACGCCTCGTCGTGACCCGTGTCTGAAGCATACATTGAAAAAACACCAACAACATGTTGGCCATCTACAGCCATGACGTCACTACCAGTGCGACTATAGTATAAATAGGCACCGGTAGAACACATCACCCCCGCCTGCAGGTAGGGGTAGGAGGAATCGCGGGTCAAAGGGAGGTAGGCAAAACATAAGGGATATGATCCAGACAAGACGTCAGCGCTTTCGTCCGGATCAGAGTGATACTTGAGTATCTATTCATTTCCTTAGAGGGTTTTACATCTGCCCTTATCTTCCCCTTCCTAATTCTCCTGTAAACCACCATCAACTTCCTGCATTACAGTCTCCTATGCTGGACCTATGTTTGGTTGGTTCTATGGCTTCATAGTGACCACCTTACTGATGGTCTGGACTTCTGCGGGTCGCTTCTTGAACGGGGCTCCGGCGTGGGAATCATGGTGGGTGAGTACGATCCATTTCTAAATATATATATATATATATATATATATATATGTATTTATATTTATTTATATGTGTGTGTATTTAATGCGCTGGTGGTTGTGTGTATAATCCATCTGCTAGCTTTCTTTGCAGCTTTTTCCGGAACCTGTGTTTTTCTGTCCTTTTTCTAGGGTAGGTCCTCGATGAGCACACCGCTCTGTTGGATACTGTGTGACAGCCAAGACTTAGTATGATTCTAGGCTCTTGGTCGTATTCCCTTAAAGGAATCTATTCCTGATTCCAAGCCTTGAGCTCTACCCCGGGCCCAGGAGTTCTGGCCCTAACAGGTAAGTTTTTTTGGGTATGTAGCCTAGGCCTTTGGCCGTAGGGGATAATGTCACTGACAGCCGTCTTAACGTCCCAGGGGCAACTCCCATGGCTATGGTAGAGTTGGTACTTAGTGCTCGCCATGGTTTTCTGGCCTGCACTGCAGGTAGGGGTAGGAGGAATCGCGGGTCAAAGGGAGGTAGGCAAAACATAAGGGATATGATCCAGACAAGACGTCAGCGCTTTCGTCCGGATCAGAGTGATACTTGAGTATCTATTCATTTCCTTAGAGGGTTTTACATCTGCCCTTATCTTCCCCTTCCTAATTCTCCTGTAAACCACCATCAACTTCCTGCATTACAGTCTCCTATGCTGGACCTATGTTTGGTTGGTTCTATGGCTTCATAGTGACCACCTTACTGATGGTCTGGACTTCTGCGGGTCGCTTCTTGAACGGGGCTCCGGCGTGGGAATCATGGTGGGTGAGTACGATCCATTTCTAAATATATATATATATATATATATATATATATGTATTTATATTTATTTATATGTGTGTGTATTTAATGCGCTGGTGGTTGTGTGTATAATCCATCTGCTAGCTTTCTTTGCAGCTTTTTCCGGAACCTGTGTTTTTCTGTCCTTTTTCTAGGGTAGGTCCTCGATGAGCACACCGCTCTGTTGGATACTGTGTGACAGCCAAGACTTAGTATGATTCTAGGCTCTTGGTCGTATTCCCTTAAAGGAATCTATTCCTGATTCCAAGCCTTGAGCTCTACCCCGGGCCCAGGAGTTCTGGCCCTAACAGGTAAGTTTTTTTGGGTATGTAGCCTAGGCCTTTGGCCGTAGGGGATAATGTCACTGACAGCCGTCTTAACGTCCCAGGGGCAACTCCCATGGCTATGGTAGAGTTGGTACTTAGTGCTCGCCATGGTTTTCTGGCCTGCACTCCCCTCAGCATAGTGGTGTGGGTATAATGTTCCCCATAGCGACCCCTAGAGGACGCAGTTCGAAGTTCCGTTGAAAGGGAAGCTTAGTTTTTTTTATTGTGATATTCTTTAAGTTTTTTGCTGTTTTTTTACAAAAATAAATGGTTGAGAATAGGGCTGGGTATCGAGTTCGATACTTTTTAGGCACCGACCGAATTGCCTCGATACCATCGAGTATCGAAAAACGTCTTTTCGTTCGGTACCAAATTTCGATGCATGAGCCAATAAGCCTGCAGCACTAGCCGGTGTGTTTGACTAGAAGAGGCGCGGCGCAGATCGATCAGCCGCGAGAGCGACTCGAAAGCGCACGGAGCAGTCTGCTCTCTTTAGCTCTCGTGGTACTGTAATACCACCAGTATAGAGTAGCGTGGGAGCTGCGTGGAGTTCCGATCATATGCAGATGTCCGTTCATACTAACGTTACACGACCGAAAGCGCATGTTATGTGACCATTCATGCAAACTGTAGCATCATGCTACATAAGACAATAAATCAGATTTATATTCCGCTTTTACTCAAAACTCACTTTAAACCACCATCGAGTGTTTGTAATAACTTCCGATTTTCCGTCTAACAGGGCCGGATTTACGCATT